TTCTGCATCAAGTGCTCCAACCCACTAACCATCTCAGTGGCTCTTTACTGAACACTCTTCTATTTTGCAGCATCTCTTTTACACTGGGGTGCCACAACTAGTCATCATGTCCATGTGTGGTGTCACAAGTGCAGAACAGAGAGTAGGAATCACTTCCCTCAACCTGCTGGCCAAAATGCAGCTGGCTGTGCATGCAGTCAGCTGGGTGGATTTTAACATATGAGCTATATGGTTTTTATCTTCTGGTTGCCATTTGGTAGTGGTGTCTGGACATCTGAATGAGAAATTGCGTTGGCAAGATTGTGTGAGCTTCAGAGAGAAGAGTGGAGCCAGTTGCGTCTCGTCACACAATATTGTCCTAGCTACTCATCACAAGCTAGCAGCTTCATTCAGGTTGCCCAAGAACAATAAGCTCCTTGTGAGGATCTCCAGTACAGCAGCAAGTTGGCTTTAAGAGTTGTCTTTGCCTTGATCCATTCAAGTGATATCTTAAGTTAGACTCCTCTGAATTGCCTTTTGGAAGAGCTGATTGCATGGTGAGACTGGGAAGCCGAGTCTCCTGATTCACAAAGCTGAAGCTAGGTAGTGTGAACATGCCCCAGGGAGCCACATTGCCAAAGCTTTGTTGAAAGAGAGAAGAAAGACCACTTCCCCGCCATTGATGTGGTAATGGCCTCCAGAACACTGAAGTGTGGCTCTGTCAATGACGCACTGATTGCTATCTGAAAGTCAGTCTTCTGGGATATGAATGGAGGCTATTTTGTTCTTCTTCAGTTCATAAATTAGTGCATCTGAGTAGCCAGTGCCTGTGAGAGAACAGCTCAAGTGGTGAGAAAGCACGGCTTTCTCATGCTTCTGTCTTTGTGCATTGGCCATGGGTGAGTGGCCTGCTGCTTTCACAAGAAACCCTGTTCAGAAGTGAGTGTGGGTAAAGTTGGCATCTTTTATCTTAGTGCCATCTATGTAGGATATGCAGAAGTCAGGATTCCACTTCTGTCCCAGAACAGGCTGTGACCCCAGTCTGAGCTGGCACTGAGGGTCCCGGCTCCAATCTCATGCAGAAAGGACTTCCCTCCAATGACAAACTAATGGTGACACACTACTGCAGCGTCTCCATTTAGTACAAACGATGCTAACTTCCAAACAGAAATCTTGAGCACGGGTAAAATAAAGTAACAATGAAACTAACACAGTAGGGTGTTCGAGGGGATCTGCACAGTACCTGCAGCACCGCAGTGAATTTAGAAATGGCTGTTGGTGTCCTCCATTGCTTACAGTGGTTTTGTCTTTTCAAAGTCCAGGTTTCTTTCTCCCCTTTTAAAGTTGCTGTCTGTAAAATATTCTGCTTGGCATTTTCTCTACATTAGCAGGATTTTTTTTGTTGATTCTGGAAGAACTTGAGAACAGGGGAAATAGGCCAAAACATTCAAAAGTTAAATCAGAATCTGACTCTGCAAATAGCCAGTGTCATTGGTGTGAATAACTTCACTCTCCAGTCAAAGATATTGGGGGAAAGTGGAGAACTGTATCAGACAGAAATTTAACTTAACACATACAGATAAAAGTAATCTAGGGTTGGGTAGGGTGACTTCCAAAGGAGATAGTGGATATTTGGATCCAAAATTATTGATAGCAGTGGAGGAATTGCTGATGCTGTGGGTTAAAATTCTTACACTTACTCTGCACTGGTGGTTGTGAGCTTTGTAAAGCATTTGGCTGGGTAAGAACAGGATTTACGGGTAGCTCATTGCAGCAGTCATTTTGGAAAGCTTTAATCATGGGTTAATTTTGGTGTCAGGAGTTTTTGTGTGTGCCTATGGATTAAAGAAAGTATGATATGTCTAGAATTCTGAGAGGGATGTAAAGAAGCCTCATGGTATATATAATCTTCTCCTGCTTGGAGGTGTCGCTGATGTTGATCAGAACAACTATGCCAGCTTCCTCTTGAGAAGTGTTCATTTACTGAAAACAAAATACATGAAATGTCATCCCTAGTGAAACATTTGTCTCTGCATCTGTGCCCACATCTTCTGGGGCCAAAGTTTCCACATTCTTGCTTCTTGCAAAGCTGTTGCGGTGGAAGCCTTTCCCCTTTATAGCAATGTTGGGTTTTTGTCAGTAAAAAACAAACAAAGCTATTTTCTGTTTCAGAATGCAAGATGTAATATCTCTGGCAAGATTAAACTTCTTTCCACAGTTGTTTTTGTGATTGGAAGAATAAACCTGTTATCATTAAAATAAAAAAAAAAATCTGCACCTCATTATTTCCAGAAATAAAGCTGACATAATGAGATTTATTAAGAATTGACTCTGGATGAACTCAAGAGAGATCCAACCCCAAAGACTTTGTGTTCTAGAAAAAAGGCAGAAAGACAATAGGATGGACGCAGGGGAAGCTAGAAGAGAGAATTGCTCTGTGATATTAATAAGAAAATATGTTCTTTTGGGGAAGGACTCTGAGAAGTGGCTTGGCAAACACAGCAGGAGGCATTCAAACCTCCATGTGTTAGCTTGGCTGAGCTCAGTTGCATGAGGCAGAGATGTGGGAGATGCACAAAGTATCAGGACTAGCATGGGTGGGAGGAAAGATTTGAGAGGAAATGTAGAGGGCAAGAAGCATTAGCATTATAGCTTATCCTTTCCTGCTCTGCCCCTTCCCTCGGTTGCCTCTCCTGCTTCTCTCCCATAACTGAGCCCCTGGTTATGCTGGACCCCTGTCCCGCTGACACTGGTTCCTTGTTGTGCCATAAACCTCTTAGGAGCAGCAGTAAAAATATTCCTCTACATATCCATGAGAAGAAACGTGGTTTGGCATTTGGCAGAGTCACAGGGTTGCAGATTCAGTGCTGAGGCAGTGGTTTTTATGAGCAGCTTGCCTTCCCATGTGCACTACCTGGGATGCCAAATTTCTCTGTGTTTTTTCCCAATTCTCTGCCCCTTCCTGCACCTCTGTGGGGTGGGTCATTCTGTTTTTTTCTTTTTTGCTTTCTTTTTTTCCTTCCCTTTTACCTGGGGCCATCAACAGTTTTGTTTCCCCCATCTCTGTGCAGAGTGTCTGCTTTGAAGACAACTTCTCTCTTTTTAGTTACTGAAAGAATGTGAGGAATGAGGCCCCATGGCCCCAGCCCACCACCCAGCCAGGCGGTGTTTGTGCCTGCCGTGGAGAAAGAGCAAGGTGCCTGCAGTCCCTGGGAGGGGACTCTGACCCTGCAGGTGCTGCTTGGTGGGCGGTGAGAGAGAGGTGGCAGTGGCATGTGTGGAAGGTGGGGATGGATTTTGGGTGCGTATCTGAGCATTTCGCTAAACTGAAAACTACTTGTTGGAAGTGCCGGCAGCAATATAGCTACAGATCCTGATCCACCATGTAGAGTTTCAACTTGTCAAGAAAACTTAATTGCTAAAATAATATTAACTTCTAAAGTAGATCCATGAGTAAATCAGTCTGGCAAGAGGGATGGGTTGCTGATCCGGCTGCAGTGGCTCTGGGATATTTGCAAGCGCAGGTGGGTTGGCTGGGCAGGAGGAGAGGGTTATTCCCACCCCCACGGAGCTGTTGTGATTGTCAGTGTGCCTGTATTCGCATTTCCTCTTGCAGCTGCATCCGCCAAGAGGGTGAACAAGACAAAAGAGCTTTGGGGAATCCTGCTGTCACAGTGGAGACTGTTATGGGCCCTGTTTGCCTGCCCTGCCCCTTGCCCATAGCTGTTCCCTCGTGCCCAGGGAGCAGCGTGCCATGCACCAGCCACTCGAGCTCACAGCTGGGTATTTGGGATTAAACCACGGGCAATTGTGAGTTTGTGCTTGTGCCCCCAGGTTCTGCAGTGTGCTGAGGCACGGGTGCACGTTTGCTTCCACCAGAAACCAGCTGGGACTGGGGAACATCCTCAACTGCCCTCCCTGTTTGCAGGTGCATGTAACGCAGGCTGCTACAGCGACACTCGAGATCGTTGTGTTTGTTCGTATGGCCGAAGCAACAATCCAGTTGTCGCATCCACAGAGGCCTCAAACAGACACAAAGGGAGGAATTTCTTGTACCCAACTTTACTGCTTCACAGCTGGAGCGACCGCTCCGGGTTCCTCTTATGGTCAGTGGGGATAAAGTAGGACTTTCAGAGTACATTTCGTACAACCTATTTCCAGTGCAGGGTGGCACCGCTGACACCCTGGATCGCACCTGCAGTGCTTGCTGGGCCCGTGCTGGTTGCACAGAATGTCTGTCCGCACAGTGTGCTGTTGCACGCTGCTGGAGGAGGGACCTGGTGCCCCTGTTTTCACACTGGCGCGTGCAGACGGACTGTAGCTGATGAGTGAGCCTTTTCCTCGCTGTGAACACCAAAGTCTGCGCTCAGGAAAGCTTTGCTAATGTGTCCTACCTGTAACCTACGTGTGACTGGCAATCCTAATTACCCATGCAAATGCTCACAAGGCTGGAGGAGACCCCATGCTACTGTCTTATCTGGGGAGAGACTAAGCCATGCTATTGCCTCGCCTAGGGCTTCAAATCACAACATCACTTCAAGGCTGTGTACGGGTACTGAATGGGACTAAAACCATCCAAACTCTGACCCCTGCCATAATTACCTGCCTAATGAGCCCAAAAGACCTTTTCCATCTGGTCAGCCCGTGGTTCTGATTCTGCTTGATATAATCAGTATCTGAGCAAATAATATGCTAGTCATCAGTCAGGCTAAATGGTATTGTTTTACCCTTGTTTCTCTGTGCTGCACCTGCAAAGTGGTATTCCCTGAACAAATAGCTGTGCTGTCAAAGGGACCCAAGCACCCTGCTGAGCTCTCAGTTAAAGTCTGTGCTCTTCATCTCTTGGTGAAGTGCAGCACTAACTGGGTCTGAACAAAACCACTCCTGCAGTGGGGGGTTTCTTGTTCCCTTCTGCACTGGTCCAGGATGCCCTGCGGGATGCTGTCTCCTGAGAGGGCATAGAAACACTCATGATGGAAATTGCACTGACAGGCTTCCTTCACCCTTGATTCCCCTTTCAGAGCACAGTTGGAGAGAATCGATGGCTTCAAGGGCACCTGGTACAGTTGCTAATCAGTCACTGTGATTTAAACACCGCAGCAAGATGGGCACAACACTTCAATTTGCCCAAGGAGATGCTACCTTATGGAGTGGCTGATGAGCTTCAGAAGCTTCAGATCCAAGAGAGGTAAATACTCTGTTTCATCCCTTTTCAATGTAGATTACTTATCATACAAAGACTGCATATTTACCTAAAATAATCTGCCGTAATGCATCCTTGGGGAGATAATTTTGCAAAACTTCCTCCATTTACTCAGATCACATCTTGGCTGTGTATGTACTGCATTTTCTTTTCATAAGCCTGGAAATGTCTGTGAAAGGTACATTTTAAACTCACACCTGAGTACTTAGAAGCTGTATGAGATTGGTTCATGCTGCAGAGGGGTCTTCAGACTCCCTCTGCCAGATCAACAGCTAAAACAAAATTACGTGGGTAGGAAATGAATATGTGCCTGTTTTACTGAGTTGATGACATGTCTGTCAAAGTTTTCTATATACTCTGCATCCCCCACTGTACTGCAATCTGGTTTAATGCCTTTTAGGAGACTCATGGCCAACAAAATAATTTTAAAGTTCCTTAAATTTTTCTAATTGTATTTATTTTCTTCCTCCCTTAACATCTCATAAGCCATTTTTCATTCCTGTCTGTAATTTTTGCCTCATCCAAAGCTCTCAGAAGTAATGGGAATTTTTGATATTTGGGGTCAGATCCGAGAAGAGTCACATTAATGGAATTGGGGATAAAACCAGACTAAAACCAGACCCTCCAGCACAAGTTTACCAAGTGAGCTTAAGAAGGCTTTAGCCCTCTAATTAGTTTCTGTCCCCTTTTCTTCCTCTAATGCAATCCTAATAACGCAGTGCTGTGGATCCTCTCCTGCTTTGGGACCCCAATGTTGTATGCAGCAGATTAGCCTGCTGTAGCCACAGTTCCTTCCCCAATGGGAGCTTTATCCTGTTGCATGACTTGAAACAAGAGTACAAGGGCAGAGGTATAACAAAAAGAATTGAAAAATCCTTACATTAAGAAGGGTTCTTACAACTCCTTGATTTCAAGTTCACGGAACTGTGCAAACCGCCCCAGTCAGGGATCTCTGTGAACCTGCTGGTGTGGGAGGAGCAGAGGAGAAGGATGGAGGGACGAGGGTGGCCGTGTTCTATGCTGTGTATAGACAAAGTGAGGGAAGCTGAAAAGAGGCTCTGCATTTTGGATGACACATGTAGTCACCTAAACTCTTAGGAGCTGTCTGATCCCCACAGCACGCTAGATCTGGAGGAGCACCTGGGCTTTGTAGTTCTGGATCTGGGTATTCTGTGCTGTGTCTCTTCGAGAAAATGTCCCAACGTCACCTTCCTCATGCAACAATATCCCAGGCAGCTGCTCAGCGATGCTGTATGGAGGAAGAAAGGCTGTATTTGAAAAAAATGACTCAATGCAAATGTTTTGCTGCGCTCCAGTAGTTCACTTTTATACTTGTGTGAGTGATAGTGTATCTGCCATGCTTCAGTGACTCTGTCCATGAGCTGTTTAAGCAAGTTATTCAGAGATAGCCATGTTTGGCACCCTTTTCTGAACATTTTTTTTTTCCTACAGAAAGGCCTGCACACATGCAGGCTAATGCAAGTCTTGAGGAACTGCAAAGCTTGCAGATGATACTGCATGAGTGTCCTGTTAGGATCTCACCCAGGACTGCACAGAAGATCTGGGTGAGGTCTGGCTGGTAGTCCCATCAACACACAGCCTGGTAGCCTCTGTGCCCATATGTGTTCATGAGCCAAATTCCTGCAAGGCTGCAGGCTACCACAGTCCTTGGGTTCAGCGTAATTACACAGTCACCTTGCTGGCCTTCTACAATCACGCATCGTTTTCTCCACTCCCTCATGTGCAGGAATTCATCAAGTTGGATTCTGTGCACAGAAGAGGACTTAGCCCTGAATGCTGAATGCAAATGCAGGAGAGCTTTGGGCTGTGTGGTTGGAGTGCAGCATAGCTTAAAGCCTAGCTGTCATTCAAGGAGCAATAGCATGTTTCCAGGTAGAGTCAAGGCTTTTGTCAAAAACAGAAGAGAGGAAGCAGTGATAGAACTCTTCTGTTGTACACATCAGTCACCTTATTCCAGGGTGTTGTGCTTGACTGGACTTGGCACCACTTGCTTGATGTCTCTCTCTTACCATCACTGGTGAAATGTGTTGGGTTTTTTTTAGCATGGAGATTGGTGTTTCTAGTTCAGAAGCCAGGTGAGATTAGTGGAAAGTTTGTGGGAAAATCTTGACCACTCCCAAGAGGTAACTATTTACAACTCTGTGCAAGCTGATAGCCCATATCCTTAGGATCCTGCAAACATAGCCCTTGAAGCTTTAACATTACAGCAAACTTCTATCTCCTGGAAGAGGTGATTATGTAAAAACTGCAGCTTTCATAACTAAAAAATGTACATAGATTGAACTAACTTGAATTATGTAGAAGGTGACTGAGAACACGGTGTACTATTATTTTTTAAAGCTGATGATCTTGGGAGTGTCTCATAGATGGCCTTGAACAGTTCCTGTGCTGAGCTTCATGGATCTGATCTTCCTCCTTGTGCAGATTTGCACTGGTTCATGTTTAAACCCTGTAGAACCTCAGGAAATATGACACAGATATAATCACTCTCAAAACACTATCTGCAAAGGCCCACCTCTCCAGATGGTACATGGCTTTCTTGGAGCACAGGAAACTTGTCTGTCTGGGACATGCACCTGCTTAGCTCTGATGTATTTCTGGAGGTGCCCTCCTCCTCCCTCCTGAAGCTGCACCAGCTGCCACTTGGGAGCCAGAAGGTTTTTGCATGAGGTGTGATCCCTCAGAACACAAAGGGGTGGTTAACAGGAGTGTGACTTAGCCACAGACTCTGTGCATCTAGAAAGATAAAAATCATCACTACATCTCTCTGCTCTGAGAATCTTGTATTGTGTATGGGTGGAGTGAAGGCATGCCGATTAGGATGTGCTCTGCCATTGTGACAGATGAGTAAAACCCTTTGTGCCTCAGTTTATTCATTCAGTCATGATACCTGCTGCAGTAGCTGCTATAAAATCAGCAGAGCCGTGGAACCTAATAAAACAGTCTGTCTGCCTTATTTATTGAGCTAACAAAGCAGCAGGTTCCCAGAGAGGGTGTTCACAGTGTAGAGAACAAGGTGGTACTAGCATATAAATGATATCATCTCTGCCACTGGTCACACTATATGCAGCTCCTGAAATCTGCAGGTGAGAATATTCCTGGAGACCTGAGACTGCACACCTTCATTAAATATTTTACACAAATATTGACTTCCCCATGCACACAAACCCATGGTAAAGAGTGTTTGTACAGTGAAAGCTGCTATGCTACAGAATTAGTCACCCAGTCCCCTAAACATAAGGTTAGTAAATAGTTGCTCAAATAATAAACCATTTCAAGTCTCTATGGGAAAGAGACTGTCCAGAAATTTGTGATATGTCCAAAATAGCTGGATATTTTTTATTAGTTTCTTTCCTCTGATTGCATCATCTGGCTGAGACACCACAGCAATATGCTGACCTTCCAGTTACAAGGCCATTTCAAGAGACTCTGCTGCATTTTTAAAAGAAAATGTGCTGTGTAAGATCCTGTCGTAGGAAATCAGTTAGCTCATTTCTGCATCTTCCAGTGTTCCCAGGGTATTAATATGTGGATACAGAATTTCTCTGGTGCCATCTGAAACCCAAATGGAGGGAGTAGCACAAGCAAGGCACTCAGTCTGTGGGTTCAGCTGGTTGTCTTCCCCTAAATATATGGAAGGTTTTGAAACTTTGTTTCTGAACTTTTCTCCTTTCACCCCTCTGCAATGTAGGACAAACGGTGCAACCTATGTGGACATTTTACAGGGAAGGGGATGGAGGAGAAGAAACTGGATAGCATCAGGGAGGTCCATGAAGCCTTCCCAAGCCATTGCACTATAAAATGATGAGGCAGATTCACCCATTTCCAGCTGGTACTGATCTTGTCATGGAGCAATCTGAGAGTCTCTTTCTGAGCCAGTTTATGATGTGGGGAAGCGTGAAGCTCCTGTTTGGACGCAGTACTGGTCAGAGCTGACATCTCTGTTATGTATTACACCGTGGGAGCTAGCAGACTTCCATGTTAACCTCGAGGGCAAAAAGCAGTAAATCTAAAATGTGTTATCTCTGAACGTGGAAACAGCTGCCCAACATTGTCATCCAAGTTGCATCAGTTCTGGGAAAGAGAACTGAGCATTGAGCCCAGGGCTTGGGATTCTGACTCCAGCAAGTTTGGTTGTTTGGATGTTCTCTGCAGTGCGTACAGTGCATGTGCTTGGTGAGGTCTCAGATACAGTGCCATGTCTGTGATAGGAATAGAAAGAGAGGATGAGTCAAGATGAAAGAGGTTGAGATTACAGAGAAAGTAAGGAAAGAGAGGGCGAGAGAAGGACTTGAGTGGCATGGGGAAATAGAGGGCCAGGGTGAAATAAGGGGCTTAAAACTTCCTGATGATTCTCCAATCCAGGATTTCCTCTCATTGCATGGCTTAAAGCTGTTGCATCTGATTCTGTGCAGGGTAGAAGAGGCTGCAAAAGCAGATAATTATGAAGAGAATAAGAAGAAAGACTATTACCAGCTTCCTATTCCACGGGCAAATATTCACTTCCTGCAGACCTGGGAAGAGACACTGCAGTGCTGGGAAAAGGTGCTGCGGGTGAGTGTTACTCTGGTATTTACTTGGCAGGGTCAAGGAGCAGAAACTCCATAGCAGGCTGGTATGCAGGGTTGTATGTGGGCCACTGCCATCAAATGTCTCCCTCCCCAAGTCAAGAACAGCTGCTCCCTCTAGTCTGATTTGGGGAACATGTTGGGAATTGCTGTGCCAGGAAAGGTCAGGGGGTAACTCGTGTATTGTGCAAGTTGTCTCCGTAGCAGTTTGCACACTGCCAGAGAGATGCAGTTGTTGGAAAGGAAACGCTTGTGTTCTGGACAGGGACTGTCCAGTCCACTTTCAAGCGTAGACAGTCTCCAAGTGAAGAAGGCTTTTTTCTGTGTTGCAGCCTGGGCAGGTTGTTGGCATTGACATGGAGTGGAGGCCTTCATTCGGCATGGTCGGGAAGCCCCGTGTCTCCCTTCTTCAAATTGCTCTGAAGGATGAGGTGTTCCTGCTTGACTTGCCACGGCTCCTTGAGCAAGCCGAGACGGAGGGTGAAAAGGACAAACTTCCCCACTTCATCCAGATTCTCTATTCGGATGCAGCCATTACTAAACTGGGTAATATGCATCTCTTCTCCCCACCTTGGGTATTTACACAGGTTATTTTGTGTAATTCCGAGATGTTCTTGGGGTTGTCGTTCACTAAATCCACTTACCACAGAAGGAGCTTTTGTAGCCCAGGGTATTCACAGACTGCCATGCCAGGAAGCAGGGTGACCAGTGCAACTGGGAATGATATAAACATCTCCCCATTTCAGGTCAGACCCAAGATTTCTGATTTAGCCTTCCCCCTCGGACTTAGCCACATGGTCTTAGCCACATACTGACCCCAGCCTGAACCCAACCTCCAGTGGCCACGGGGATTCTGCCATCCAGAGCTTTCTGGATTTGCTGGCCCTGTCCCAACGCCGCCGTGCTGGACACCAGAGCTCTCTGGCTTCCCGTACCTGGTTTTAGATTCTGATTGGAGGCTTTTGACAGGAATTTTTAAACCTGGAGTTCAAGGGCAAATTCATAACTGCCTTTCACTGACCTAGCAAATGTTAAGTAATTTGATTTTAACTCAGCATTTTTCATCCACCACTTCTCTCTCAATCTTGATCTTGCAGGGGTATCTCTTAGAAACGGGAGAGACAGGAGTCTGCCTTGTTCCCTATCTGAACAGTCTTTCCGCCAATGTTTATACATATATTGTCAGCATTTTGCCTCTGAACTAGAAAAAGTTATGGTCTGTTAGCCGTGATTTGAGTTTTTCTACCTGTGTGATTTGGACTTTTTTTTTTCCAGGTTATGGGATGTCTGGAGACCTTAGCAGCCTTGCAGCCACATGGTCTGCTTTGAAAGACACAAATAAGCAGGCGCAAGGTGTGGTGGACCTACTCACAGTAGACAAACAAGTAAGGGTGAACCCATGAAGATATGGAAAATTGCGTCTCCTCTGTGTGCTCAGAGATAACTGTCATGAATCCACAGCACTGTCTTTTTGTATCCCATATTGGCAAGGAGATGGCTAGATGAGTAAATAGCCCTTTCTGCTTGTGGTTTTGAGGGTAATGTGATTCTGTAAAGAAAGACAGAAGCATTTAGTTTTCATCAACTAAAAAGTTAGAGCTTGATATGCTAATAACTTTTTTCATGGCCTTCATAAAAGATATGAAAAAGAAATTGAAATGGAGATGTAGCTCCATTCATCTCGGACGAAGTTTCTGAGCACAAGTCATACTTGAACTCAGTAAGAGTAAATTCCTGTAGAAATTCTGATGTTCCAAGATCATGTAGTATTGAAGCAGATATTATGGAGTTAATGATTTGTAGAGAACGTGTAATGTTTGTAGAAGGGCTGCTGGTGGATTCAGCACAGGAATTCCTGTTCAGCTGAAGTAGAGCTGTCTCTGAGTTTGTACACAGGAGTTTTGAGCAGTCTGCAGAAATGTTAAGGACACCCATTTTGATGGATGAAATTTAGAGTGTGCTTAAGGCTGTGGATTGGCATGAACCCAGGTCTTTGGGACTGATAGCTTAACCTGGGAAGTACTTCAGGGTCTGAAGTACCTGCCATCAGCTATTGCCTCATTTTAATCTGAGAAACAGCAACTGCAGAAAGGCCTTTGCCCGCTGTGTTACGGGAATACCTCTTCTCACTGGAGCTAGGAGGAGAAAGGTGCTGAACCACTGCTGCTGTCTTTTACTGAGTTGGTGCCCAACAGCCTGGCTGAGCAACCTGCAAACCTCCAAGAATTCACAGTCGCAGCCCCACTGCTCTGATGCAATGCTGTACAACAATGCACTTTTGTTCCTTCCCTGGCTATGAAACAGATTTCTTTCCAGCAAGTGTGTTTGTTAAACAAATAACCAGACGCCGTATATATCTAATGCCATCCCAGCCCTTGTCTGAGACAACGGGATTCAATATGCCAGGCAAGAGATAAAAATGATAGGGTTGCTGCATGGCCCCACCCACTGGAATAGGAGGTGTAGAAGCTGTTTTATAACCATGTGTTTTATGTCTTTTTCTTTCCATCAGCTGCAAAAGAGCTCCATTGACTGGAAGAAGGGTGGCCGGAAGGTCAATGTACTGTCCCCAGAGCAGAGCTATGATGATAGAGAGTTCAAGCAGCCAGAGAAAGGACTCAGCCTCTTGGTGCAACATGTGCTGGGGAAGCCTCTAGATAAAACAGAGCAGCTGTCTAACTGGGAGAAACGGCCTCTCCGGGAGGAACAGATCCTCTATGCAGGTCTGGTCACTGACTCAATGGCAAGGTGCTGCAGACTCTATTACAGGCTGTGTTTGCCTGTTCTCTGTCACGAGGAAAACTGTTCAGTAGCAAACAAAGAAAATGGCTTTGCAGATTAGTTCCTGTTCAGAGAAGCCAGCATATGTTATGTTTGTCCTTTAGCGGACATGACTGTAATGGTTGAAGTTTAAACTGTCCAGCGATTCATTATTTCCCTTCTGAAAGAGTTCCTGTGCTTTGCAGATTTTGTCTGATGAAACATCACCTCAGTTGGAAACTCCTCTTGGTAACTGAAAGGAAGAAAGTCCACTTCCTTCTGCCTCATTTCACAGCCTTTCTGGGAAACAAGTGCTGTGTTCATTTGTCATAGTGAAGTGCTTGTTAGGGTAGGGTTAAAAATGCGTAGACATGGTGTCAGAAACTGCAACACAGAATCATCCCTGTGGAGGGACCAATGGGGTTTATTGCTGATTAACCCAGAGTCAGAAGTCTGAGTCTGAATCTTTTCCTGGGGCATCAAAGGACAGTCTACTGAAGCAAACCAGCCCTTTGTTAAATTCTACTATGCTTGAAGCTGACACAGTTCCCACAAAAGTTAATCACTAGGACTTGTAAAACTGGCTTGGAGACTTAGACAGTTCCCGTTGCAAGGAGCAGAAGCCACATGGCAGTGCGTGTGGGCAGGTGAATGCAAGCAACTCGGTTATTACTTTTTAAGATGTTGCATCTAATGGGGAAGTTACTTCCCCATAGCTGAGATGCGGTAATGAACTGTGGGCAAGCCGCTGCTCAGTAACAATGGAGAGTAAAATGGGTTGGCTGAAGCTATCTCCCATGGCGGTTTGAACAGGCGCACCGCAATTTGCATTGCGCTACAGTCAGAGGTAGCAGAGGGCCTGTCGCTTTTTGAGCCCCTCTGCCGAAACTCTTTGTGACCATGTGTTAGGTTATGGGGCTTACTGATTCGGTAGAAGAATGCAGGGTATGACATTAGTGAGTTGGAGCTTCACGGGTTGTTTGCATTCAGTGGTGTTTACAAAAGTAAAGGCTCTTCCTTGCATCAGGGAAGCCTCTGTTTTACTTTTGAATGAAACCAGCTGAGGCTCATGTTCCCTTATTTTCAGCTTCAGATGCGTACTGTTTGCTGGAGATCTACGAGAAACTCTGTAAGGATCCAGAGAGCTTTGGTCTGAGTTCAGACCTGTCTGAGAGTCTGGTGGGAAAACCAATCATAAAATCCAGGGCAAAGAAGCAGCTGAATAAACAAGAAGTACCATCACCTTCTGGACAGGTTTGTAAACATCTTCAAAGAGCTGCATGTTGCTCAAGACCCCTGCAAATCATATGTTGCCTTGTCTCAGTCATACTTTTAGGTATGCATGGCATGCCTGTTTGTAGTCTGTTCTCAGGACTATTGCAGCAAACATCTTCCTCGCTCCTCCCCTTTACTGGTAAGATGTGCTTTCTGCTTTGCGTGCTTTGGTTCATCTTTTCCTGCAATTTTAGGTACATTTGTCTTCACAAAATGTTGGTGTGGTCTCTGTGTGGCAGAATAAACACAGATATGTGTGGCAGAATTCAGCTAACTTTGCTGGCAGAAATGTTCCTTCCACATTTTCTCTGTGGTGTGGGTTTGAATTCTGTGGCCTAGGTGTTGCATCAATGAGGTTTCAAAATTCTGACTTCCTTACTTTTGCTTTTAACGGTGCTTCTACACTTTGGTGTCACATTGGGAATGTATACTTTATTGTGTCTGGAGTAGAAGTCTGCAAAGTTAAAAACAAACAATCCCTCCAAAAAGTCTTTGTGGTGATGGCTTGTCTCTGTCTCCCTGCCCACCACCACATACTCCATGACTGGCCTCCCCCTGCAATGTTGTGGCAGAGCCTTAAAGCTCCACTGGCCATAACTCGGAGCTGTGTGACTCTGCTTAAATATCTTGAAACGTGACTGGTCCCTTTCAGTAATCAAGTTTTACTTTTAAAATGCAATCATCCAGTTGTTTATGCACCTGTGAAAACATTAGCAGAAAAAACAGTTTTATTTATTAACTGAGAAGACTCACTGTATCTGTGTATCCTTCTGAGTATCTCAAATGTGTATTTAGCTTCTGAAGTCAATACTACCTTCCATGCTTGGACTGAGATGCTATTGATTATAGCCACCTTTTCAGGATCCTCCTTATCGAGAGTGGGTAAATGTATGGTATGCCATTAGTCTTAGTCAGGCAGCACAAAGCTGCTCAGTAGTTTCCTAAGCACTCTGTGTTCATGGGAATATTGTATGTTACAACAGATCTGGCTGGCTGCTGCAGAGATGGGAAAAGTAAGTACTTCAGGCTTGAATTACCTTGTGAACTCACAGGTCATCTTTGTGTTCTGTACAGTCAGATTCATTAACTGCAAGGTAGTTGGTAAAACCTGGACTGGGACTCAAAAAAGCAGACTTCTCCTGACTGCATCCTGCATGACTCCAAGCTCTCTTTCCCAGTGTTTCCTGGTCCACTGTCTGAAATGGGGCTAATGACACTGTTCTCCTTTACAAGCTTTTTGCTCTCTGCTGACATGAAACGTGAGAAAAAAGCTACATATGACACTGCTGGTCATTGAATAAACATTAGCTAAGAGGACAGCTGCTGCTCCTTTACATCTGTTTGATCAGAAGCAGTATCACAGGGTTGGAGTCTTCCAACTACCTTGGCATCTAAGGGTCAGCTTGGTCTGTTATCACAGCACTGATACCTCAGGGCACAGCTGCATCCACTGAGGTCCCTGCAGGAGCTGGTGACAGTCCAGTCCACCCAGTGCTGCAGAGCTTTGAGTGCCTGTACCAGCTTCTGGGAGGTGCATCATCACACAGGTTGAGCTCTCAGATCTGAGCTAGTTCAGTGCTCAGCCCAGGTGTATCCGCATGGTGTGCCACAGCATTTCCAGGCCTGAGTCAACTCCTGCAGAGCTAATTGGCAATGCTGCAGTAACTCTGGTTCCAAAGGCAGTGTCGCCCTGCAGCAGTGGTGGCTGTGTCCTTCAGTCATCCCAGCTGATTCAAGTTCCTGGAGGCAAAAGCTGAACACTGGAGGTTCCCTAATAGCTTCCCTTCTCCATGAATTTAGCTATTGTATTTCTGGGAGCCTCCCAACAACAAAGTCTCAAACTGCAGGAACTCCCCCAGCAGCAGACATTTGAAACAAAATAAACAGAATTCAGGCACTGCCTATTTTTAAACTTCCGAAGATAACAAAGTTGACGTGGTTGCTTTGTCTACCTGTTTCTCCCTTTGTAAGTCAGATCCCCTTCCCAAATTGTAACTTTGGCACATGTATATTAATTGCAGTCTAATTTGATAGGGGAATAGCAGTCCTGAAGACGTGTTTCTGTGACTTCATGAAAATGAGTGTCTGTGTAGAGCGTAGAAGGCCAGGTTGGCATTTCTGCAGGGAAAGGCTGCAGATCTCCAGTTTGGGTGGCCAGCTGGCCAGTGAGTGAATGGCTAATTCAGAATTAGCCCCATTCTGTGCTGCCACCTGCCCAAGTGGTAGGTGGATGGTATAGAAAGGACATGAAGGAGGAACTAGAGGTGTTGCAGAGCATGGGGGAAATTGTAGTATAGGTAAACGGTTGGGTTTGCCATGCCAGATGAATGCAGGGAGGCAAAACACAGATGTAGTGGAAATCAGCCTTCTGTTCTGCTGCTCACGGCTCTCTTGCCTTTCTGTAGCAATGCAAAGGATCCAAAAAGGAGACTTCATGTCCCCCTGCTCCCATCTCCTCAAAGGAGTTCAGCGTGGTCTGCGATAACATGCTGCAAGGCCTCGGGCGCTATCTTCGCTGCCTGGGTGTAGATGTCCGGATGCTGGAGAACGACGATGACCATAGGAAAGCTGCAGAGGTTAGTCGCGTGCATGTGTGTGTGTCTCTGTGCTCCCTGGAGAAGGCCTGCTGCTTACTGTGTTACTGCACTGGTTAGTCACTCACGCCAGACAGGCAGTGGCTTGGCAGGAGCTGCCCAGCGTGTGCTTCCTCCTCTGCCTGAGCTGAGACCCAGTCCTCTGGTTCAGTCCGAGAGGCTGTGCCACATGGCAGCTCGTTAAATTAGCTAGTCACGACAGTAGTGTGTTGGCTTGATTCTCCATTTCCAGGAGAGGGGAGGTGAGCAGAGTGCTGTGATCCCAAATCTGGTTTGTGTCTGTATGTTTATGTTATTGACAGCTGGGATGTTTCAAGTCATTAGAAGAACACAAGCAGCATATAAAGATGTGACCTGCAGTCTCAAGTGTCTTTGATGGGGAGACGGTGGAGCGTTTGCAACAAGACAAAAATCAGAGAAAGGAACTCAAAATTCACTTAGGTTTCTAATGGACTCCAGTTTGGGCTTACAGAGAAGGTATTTGCTTGCCTTGTGCCTGTGTCAATTGAGCAGAACCATTATCAAAAGATGGTTGTTCAATATGAAAGGGAAAATTTCCATAATAAATTGCCATATAATGTCCTAACAGGCTACCACCTTATGAGATGACTTAAAGGTGATCAGCCACAACTTCCAGTGAAATATTTGGGAAAGGAAAGGTCTCTAACATACATGAGGACAATGAACGTTGATCGGAACTCCCATAACAACTTTGACCCTCGGAGGAGAGACACATGTTTCTTCATTTCAGACATATTTCTACTATGCCAGAAATGGAGATATACAGCCCACACAGTGTGTTGCTATCAAATGTGCACCGATCACCCGGCCTGGTGCACAGGATGTTTCCTCTTCAGATGTCTGCTTGGCCTGAATCCTGGGCAGGCTCTAACTTCTGCAGAAATAATTAATATCTCGTCTCTGCCAAACTTGCACAAGTCATTTAAACAAACTAGTTCTCACTGCTTCCCCCCCAGAGCCCCGTCTCCGCTTCTCATCCTGATACCTTATCGTGCTATGGACAGGATGTTTTACATTGCTTTCTCTATGGTGACCGGACAAACATCCTTTCACTATCAAAAGCCCTTGGAGTGTTACTGTATTGCAGAGCCTTTGATCTGTGCTTGGATAATCAAAGATAAAAATAGACTCCTCCCACCCTTCTTTATATCTGACTAGTTCTGATTTATTAGAAGGTGAATGTTGATCACCCTACACCTGAAAACTTGTAAATTTTATTGCAAAGGCCAGGAGAAAGGTTTGGATCCTGGTCACTGAATACAAGGTAGGCAGTTTGAGTGTTGTCCCAACACAGTTTCAAACTAGTGTCACCAAGAACACAAGTGTGTACAGAGTTAGTGTTTGTTCCTCATTGAAGTCATTTCACTCAAGTGATTTATAAGTCATATTACACACCTCCTTGTGCCAAGAACTTCTGAATCGCCTGGCATCTGCTCCTTATTGTTCTCCTTCCTGCTGCTTGTTAAAGTGACTTCAGGTATTGGTAGGCAGGTGGGTCTTGTCCTTCATCCTGTATTGTTTGGGATCCAGCTTAAAAGCCCAAGAGCTTTGTAGGTTGTGCTTGGGCAGCTATGGATTTTTTTAATTTTTTCTATTAGACTAATGCATGTAGCAGTAACTGGTGTGAGAAACCCCATTCCCAGGCTAAATGTGAAATCTGTGTCCTACATACTGCTTCATGTTGTGCTGCTATTATTGGCTAAATGTTTTATATTGGACAACAGTTGTCATGATGAGTTTATCATGCCAGATCTGCAATCTCAGATCTGCCAGCCCGTGAGAGCAGGACCTCTGACAACATGAGCCAGTGTATCTCCCCTTTTGTCCCTAGTTAGCTCCTGTGAGGTGATACCAGTTTGCATTCTGTGTATTTAATGGTGCCACTTAATTAGGACTTGACTGGAGAAGTGACTGGTTAAAAGTTACCTGTCATAAGCGTAGATACAGAAAATCTTTAAAGATAGAAAGATAGTAAAAATTTATACTGAAAATTTCTCCAATTAAATCTGTCCTCGTGCTGAAGACAAAGAGCTCACACTCCATCCTTACAAAAACATTTTAGCTTCTGTTCGTGAGGACCAGCCTCTCTGGGAAGAGCAGCTTTGTGTCCAAGTATGGGTGCCATGTCATTTTTCGAAGTCTTCTCATTCAGTGAGGTGGCAGGAACATTTTTACCATGTTACATTTATATCCTAGCTGCTGTAGTGCAATGCACACAAGTGTTTGGCCAAGCAGGTATGCAGTTGGGGGGTGAAATACGTACCAGATGTGCCGGATGAGCTCCTTTACCTGACTTCAGCAGCCTGGGCATTGAGAGCAGGGGGGATTCACCACACATTTCCCTGAAACGTGTCCTTGCGGGGCAGCACTTGTCCAGTCCTGCACCTTGGGTGGGAGGCCCTTCTGGAAGGCTTTGGGTGGAGGCCCAGGCTGGCCCAAGCCTGGCTTACTGCTGTGTAGGGAGACATTCCTTGGGAAGGGTTGTATGTGTCCAGCCATTCCTCACCAGGAGCTTCTGACTCCCTCCATCTGCTAAAGAATGCAGAGATTTGGTCTCTCTTACGCATCATCCATCTGTGCGTGCAGGTGCCATTACTGGGGTAAGCCACCCTTCACGTTTGCACTTATTCCTATAAGCAACACGTTATTTCCAATTAATACATTTTTCTTTACTTAAATCACGTCCTATGCCTGATTTGTTTCTAGCCAGGTCTTCCAGCTTGTCTTCTGCAAACTTCTCTTTGCAGAGAATCTGAAACCTATCTTTTGGGCCTTCTCGATGAATAATTGGAAGGAGGTGGGAAAGTTTCAGTGGGTGTTCCTCTTTTCTCTTCAATTTTGCAGAATCAGGTAGAGAAGTGGGATGCTTCTCATACCAACCTTAAAGGATCATCCGCCAGCCTAAAGTGACTACAGTAGGTCTTGCAATGTTGTACTTCAGGGGTTGAGCAAAGGCTTATAAGAAAATTTTGATAGTCTCTTAGATCACTAATTCCTAAGAAGACACTTGATGGAATCTGAAAGCCCCTTCAGTTGAGTTGTGTGTTGGGTTGGTTTGGTTTTTTAATGGACTGTGTTCATGGTCTTCAAAACCATCCTCATCTCTAAGAATAATTTGCACACCAAGGCAAATCTGATATCTTTTGAAGTGTGGTAATAACCAGAAGGCTGGTAGAACTTGCTTCCTGCAGCTCTCATGGTGTAGAAGGTTCCCTTGCAAGGTTACACCTATTCCCCCAAAACTCCAGATGAACCAGCGAGTCAGAGAGGAGGGCCAGGCTTGGATGGATCTCAGGAGCCAGTTAGAGCAATGTGCACCTGGATCTAAATTGCCCTGAACTGATTTGGGGCCAGGGGACACAAAGAAGACTTCTGATACTTCAGTGAGCAGAGCTTCATGGAATGGGGGAATCTAATCTCTGATCTCATCTCAGCTTTGAATGTCTTTTTCCATATTTTTGATGTAAATGACATTCTTCAGATTTGCTAGTCTTTCTACCTCCCCGCCAGTCTGCTGAGTAAAGTCGCAGAGGACAGATGAAGAACTGTTCTACTTTTAAGATCAAGACTTTGCTTTTGATGTTTGGTCAGCAGGAGGAGAATGTCTTTCATTGGAGACCTCGATATAAATGGGTCTATGTTAAGAAAGAAAATAGGATTGATGGTTTTGGTGTGGTACTTAAGGCCACATTACAAAATCATGTAATAACTCTGTGCAATTTATGGCTTTCAGGAATGTTGAAGAGACTGGACTGAGTTTGTTCATAGATATTAAGCTCTTGGTTTACTGTCTATTTTACTGTCTATTTTAAAAATGCCTGAGATAACAGATAGAGGGGCTTCAGGGTTAGGTTGATGTTTGTGATCCACTTCCCTAGCAGATCTGTATCCGGGTGCTTTTCCAGCACACATCCTGGAGCAGATGCTTTCTGTCTGCTCCCTTTTTGTCTGAACCAGGACTTTGGTGGCCTGGGCTCAGGATCGCTTCTTCACCTCTACTACTGCAAGGAGGGGGCACAGCTTTTCCTGACTGCCACCTTGCCAAGGGGGCACTGCAGTTTACCTCTTCAAGGACACATTGCATTGCCTAACACGTCATGCATGGGCCTGGAAAATTTTAAATTACAAATCTACAGCCTTGTGCTGCTGTTTCTTGAAACCTTCTTTGGCCTTAATTCAGGATCCTTTAGGCTGTCACAAATCCATTCTGCCACTGGTGCTGGCTTTGAAACATAGGGTCTCTCTCCGTACTCTCTCATCAGTTGTTGCCTTTCCAGGTCTCCCTTGTAGTAATTCATTTGAGTTTGTTCATCTCTGCAAAATGAAAGTTGGCTGAACAGACAGGCACGTTAAGGGATAAATAATAATACCGAGTTATTAGGGAGCGCTTTCTATCCAGAAGGTCTAAGCCTTTTCCAGAGGAAATTGATATTATCTTTTTAATAGATTGTGAAACTGAGGCCAGTGCCCTCTCTGCAGTGCTTGGGACGGAGCACAAGTCCCTGACACCCACCCCAACACGCTACAGTCGTCGTTCTTTTCCTTTTATTTGCATCTCCGAGCACATATCTCCCAGATAGTCCCAGCACTGCCTTCCGTTATTTCTTTCAGAGGAAAAGAAGAAATTATGCCCTTTTCTCCAGCACGTATCCTCTGTGGTTTCAGTCAGATGTGTGCTATCACATGGTTTTTCTGCCTCTGCGTGCTTCTCCCAGTTGTTGTTCCAGAGGCGGAAAAACATGCTGGAAGAGTTATTGCTTTTCTCCTTTTTATTTGATGTTCTTTGCCTGTCTCTGCAGAGCCATTTAGATAAGGGGATTTATCAAGCTTGAACTAATTAACCCTGGATGCAGGAAGTCAGAATGGAGTGTTCCAGCTGTGAAATCCCCAGACTTACCCTGAAGCACACATGGGTCTGAAGGAATTTCACATCTCTTTTCCCTTGTCAGCAAATCACTGTGGTGAACTTTTGCTGTTGCCTTATTGGACTTCTCTTGCTAATGTGCCATGAGAGTAGTTTGTTGGCAGGGCTGTTCAGTAACCCAAACTGCATATAGTAGGATTGCATGCAGCACGGGGTGTCTCTTGCTGTCACTTCAAGGTTCCTGTTCTTGGATTTTTTCTTTTGTTGAGAGAGAGGGTTGATTTTGAAAGAAATCCAGTAATTCTACCTGTGGAAAGATGTTTTAGAAGTTGTTGCCAATCACTTTCTCAATGCAGAACTAGCAGCCAAAGAGTGACTTCACAGAAAAGGGAGGGAAGTGGCTACCTGAAAGGTCAAGATAGGAAAAAAATGGATGCTCGGTTGATTGCATGGGGAGTTTGTGCCTTCAGAGCTTTCTCCCCCTTGTTTCATGTTGCCATAGGTCCAGTGGGTTTTCAGAGAATACCTATCCAAGACAGAGAGTTTAAAAATCTTCATTTGTTGTTTTTTGGTTTTTTTTTTTTTTTTTTTTTGGTGTTCCCTGGCTGTGCTTGGTGGTGTCAAACTCTCTGGGAAGTGCAGCAGGACTGTGATCCCAAATGTATCCTCCTGCCAGGGTTGGAGCGATCCAGAGAAAGCTTCTGAAACTGTGATCCAGAAAAGAGACCTCCATGACACGCATCTGTAAACAGTGAAAAATGCAAGGGTTTCCAACAGAATCCAAGCCAGAGGAGAGAAATAACCTCATGCCTACCTTGAACTGCCAATCTCTTGTCAGCGCTAGCAGAGCTGATGTGCTGGTTCACGTGGGAATCCTTCTATTGCTATGGCCATGAAGCTATTTCCCTCCTACAAGAGGGGGTGAAGGGGTGGGAGGGAGGGATGTCATTTAATCATAGAAAGATCAGTCACACTTTCATCCTTGTGAAGAATTGCAGTTCCAGATTTAGTATCTCCTTTTGGCACCAAACCATTTGAAAGTGTCTCTTACTCTATTGTGAAGGTCAGAAGTGCGGGTAATGAGTCCCTGGATAATTCAGCACAGACCTTTCCCTTGAAGGACAAGAATTCTGATAAAGGCACAGGATTGCATGTCAGGAGGTGATAAACTCTAATGGGGATGTTGTTTGCAGCCTGGAAAGGATGCTTAATTTCTGTATGTCTGCTTTTGGGGCTGCTGGGAGAATAACACCATCTTATCTTTAAGGAGTGGAGTGAGCATCATTCTGTTAATGTCTATGAAGTTTGCAGACACATTTAATGGTAGATTTTTTTGCTGGAATTACCTGCTTAGGTTATTTTTTTCCTTTCTCCCCTGTGTATTGCTGTACAAGCAGAACTGCTTGCTTGTTTGTGAGCCAGACTGGAGAAATCGAAGTAGTCTGGGTTAAGGAAAAGAAAAAAAAGATAGAAAGGTTTTTGATAGGATTATTTCAAGGTGGATCTGTTCCCTAGACCATCTGCAGTACAGATGCACAAGTAGCTTGTTCCAGCAAATGTGAGGCAAGGCGGGTATTGGCAGGGAGGGGACCTGCAGTGTGAGCGATACCTTGAGCTGCTATTGCTGTCGAGAGTGTATTGTTGAACCAGACCCAGATTCTCTTGGCCCAGTGCATGTTGACACTGGAGAGAAAGACTCAGTATCGCCAGTTCATGTTCTCTGTTTTGACTCAAAGAAAGGCTTGAATCCAGTGTTAACTTCAGCCCATGTTCATTATGATTTTTACTGTTTTTTCCAGATTGCTCGACAGGAAGGAAGAGTCATTTTAACCTCTGGACTCCCATATCAGACTGTAAGTGTTCAGAGCTTCTGGCATTTTTCTGGCATTGTATCTTTGCGTGGTCTGGGATGTGCAGTGTAGAGAAGAGGAAAAGTCAGATGTGGATGCAACAGCTGGCTTGGCTTTTTCATGTTTTCTGCACTAAAAACTACATTAAGGGTCTTGAGAGGTTTGCTGTTCTGAATGACCAAAGCTCAGGGTGAATTTTTTTTTTTTATAGCCGGTACTGCATCAGTGGGAAGAGCAACTGCTCTCCACTGGGGGCAGGGGGTGGAAATCAAGCCAAGCAATCCAGAACAAAGTGTTTCTGTTTGGCTTCACTGGCAGGTTAAAGGCAGCTCAATTCCCATGCTTTTTATCACATATTCTTTACTGTTTACTGACTGGCTCCACACTGACAGTTTCAACACTTAAAGATGTTTCTTCAAGCTTGGAAGGGAGAGAATGGAAGCCACCAAGCATGGGTCCTAGTGGAAGTTGTAGAGGTTTTGTGTTCCTATAGATACACAAAAAAAACAAAACAAAACCCAACCTTACCCTCAGCACCAGATGTTCAGAGCCCTTCATGAGACACACCTCAAAATGGAGTGTTGGTGGGAATATACTGAACCTGTGGAGTCAGTGGTTGCAATATTAGGATGCCTGCTGCAGGTCCTTTGCACTTTGTTACTGGGAAAGGATTAATTTGGGAGAGTGAAACTATTCTGGATTCCACACATGAGCCAGAGTGCAGGACTTCTTTGTTACAAACTATCGATATAAAAGCTCCCAACTACTCAAGTAGTTAGTTGTAATATTTGCAGAATGTAGGTTGCTAATTTCCTACATAGTAGCTGAGCATTGAAGAAAACTCCCCCACCATGATGAGACACTGTGAGGCAAGTGGAGCTGTGCCATCCTACAGGTTCCTTATCCAGACTGTGGTTCCTTGAGCCTACAGTTGATGTAATAGGTAATTCAGCATCCAGTATAATCTTACTTGGCAAAGCTTTAACTTTAAAGTACTCTGTAGGAATTACAAAAGGAAAATAACTGCTTCCCATGCAATAGTATGGGGGGAAAACACCACTCCTCTCATACGATATTGTCATGGGAAATGTCTGGTTTGCTTTGTTCCTTTGCCTTTGTATGACCTACATGAGGACAGGATGGCTCTGCTAGGCTCCTTGCATGTAACTGATCCCACCTCACTGTGCCTACTCATCATGTTCATAAAGATGTGGCTGGAACTTCCCACTGCTTGTTCCTGGATACAAACTTCTCTGCTACGTGTGAAACAAGCATTGAGGGACTGTCCACGTCAACCACTTCAAATTCACTGGCCAGCAGTGAAATATGGGTGAAATGATGTATAAACTAGAAGGGTTGGAGTGGTAAAACTGTCGTTGGATATTCATCTCCATCATTGTGCTTTTGCATACTGTGTATGATCTGTCCAGGTTTCATGTGAAAGCTGTGATTAAATTCAGTTTCCTCTTGCTACCCCTGTCAGCATCACACCACCAAATTATAAGTTGAAGGGGACTTGAGCAATCATGTTTCATATATATATATATATATATATAAAATGCTGCAGTGCCTCAGTAGTGTCAGAGCTATTGCAGCAGTGGCTAATTGTGCTTGTTAGATCAAAATTTAGACTATAAAAACACACTAACTCCAAATATTATTTGTAATTAAAACCAAACCAAGTGTATTAGTAAAAATCCCACAGATCATGCTGCATGGAGTGCCTCATTTATTGTCATTTTGGTTTATGGCTTGTCTTTTGAAGCTGCAGTCCCAGGTAGCAGAAGGAAGGTGTTTCTCTGTGAACTGCTCAGAAAAGGCAAAAGAACAGGCCATGCAAGTTCTGAAGCACTTCAACGTTCAAGTATCCCTGGCGGATATCTTCAGCCGCTGCCAGGTAGGACAAGGCTTGTTTGAGTTAAAGTTCAAGCTTGCTCGCTGTTCCATGCACAGCAGGCACTGCTTCAGCTTTTTGGGTCTTGCACTTAGTATCTTCTACTTGGTTCCTGAGATTTCTGCTTGAACTTTGGCAGCATCTTGCAAAGGTGTAAGGCGTTCTGAGTGTGCTTTCATTCTTCGGAAGTGTTGATGACTAAGTCAGAAGAGCAGAGTCAGTACAACTGCAGCTTTGCTAGAAACTGATGTTTTTCTGATTTTTGGTATTTGGCATGTGTTTTGGCATTGGTTATCATGGTTATAGTCTCTTTGTTGCTGTGTTCTCTGTCTAGGACACATGCTGTTTTAATTATAAACCATGTTTAATTATGGCTCTCTGATTCTGATAACACTTAATTACTTTAATAGGAGGATTTTTTTTTAGGACTGAATTATTTTTTTTTTTCAGAAGCTATTAGGTTAATTCATGTCCATGCTAGTAGATGATTCCAGATTGTGTTTGGCACTGGATATCTGTGGATTGTTGTTAAAAAGAAATTTTAATTGTATTAGCTCAAATCTCTATCTCTTCCAATTTCACTCTTGTATTTGTTACAGTAACACGCTGAAACCTATCCCTTCAAAACCTGTAATATAAACCAAGTTGCAACTTCAACATCTCTCCTCTTATCAGTGTTTAAAGAAAGAAAAAGAAGAAACTGCAAATCTGGCTAGCAAAGGAGCTTTCTCATAGGAATAAACAAGTCAGCTGAACACTTCAGTGAAGTCTGGCTCAGTGCCTTGTGGTCGAGCTCATGGGGTCTCCTGGCTTGGTGGAACTGCACAAGTGTTGTAGGAACAGTAATGACTTCTGAGCAAACACAACAGAGAGCATTTTCTAGATCTCTGCTTATATCTGGTGTCAGCTGTTGAAACTGTATCTGTAACTTATAGAGAAAATGAGAGTTGTCCAGCTGTGCAGGTTGTCTATGAGGAGAATGACGTAACACCATGCAGATTGGATCGACATAGTATGGACCGATCTTACTTGAGGATAAATGTATATATTCAGATATAAGATATTGCATTCAGTCTTGCGGTTTTATTGTTCTGAGAACAGATTGCATTTGTTATATAGTGGCACGCTAGCTTCTTTGCTATTTTAGAAAAACCTTTAAAAAACCTTGTGGATTCTCCGATTCCCTGAGATCCCATAAAATAGCAGTGTTCTTCCTGATGGTTGTTGAAATACCACAAGAATAAGCAGACACAAAAAAACATGCTGCAGAAGACTCTGTAATATCTGTAATAAATGCAGAAGGCTGTGCAGCGTATGATATAGAACTGACCCCTTGCCCATGATCCGGAGTCTGGAACTGTTTAACTATATGGCTTTTTAGTATGTGCTGTCTTAGTTTACAATATAAATCAGGGTAATCAATCTGGCTAGGAGTATATACTAAGTGTTCTCTTACTTCCAGGAGAACTGCCTTCCCTGTAAATTGTGGTGGTAGAACAGCTGCATGTTTTATACCACTAGGCATGGGAAGGTGCTCATGTCAAACTGCTCTGTGTCCTGAGTCATATATTTGCCTACATTTAAGGCTTTGGCATTTTAGAGCTACTTTTGTTCAGCTGTCCCGTGCAGAGTGTACGAGTTTCCCTAATACGTTGCTGTTGCACTGGGAGAGAATCCAAGCTCCTGGGGCCGTGCCTGTCCGGCGGACGCCCAGCCAGGTACGCGGGGCGCTCGGCCCTGGGGCTCTCAGCAGGGCTGCGTGTGAGGGGGGAGCGCTGGGCAGCCCCCTGAGAAGGCTCGTACTGCACAGCTGCAGAGTATTGACTGCCCATGTGAAAAATGGCAAATTTCTGCTTTTAAGAGGGTGCTCTGGGACCCCTGTGGCCAACAGAGACCTCAGCACGTCATTTGTAAGTTCTTTCTGAAACATCCTCATTCTCTGGAAACCTAATTGGATTTAATTAGGATGGAGGCTACGTCCTTAAACCGCTGAGCTGTGCCTTCCATACTGCCTGTCCTGGTCTTTAACCGGGTTACAGACCTCAGGGCTTGCAAACTGCTTTGAGGTCTGCCACCTCCTTGCAGAAACGTGTATTGCTAACGGGGGGCTGAGGGGTTCGGGCTGTCCCTGTAGCCGGGGAGCGCTGGTGGGGTGTGCAGGCAGGGCCCTCCAGCAACGCTCCAGTGCTGCTGTGAGCGTGCTGGGCAGGAGGAGGAGGCTGGGTAGTGCTGATTCCTAACCTGGGCCAGAGCTGGGCTGGCCGCTGTCTGAACCGTGGGCCCAGAAGCCCTGCTCTGCTTGCCAGAGCGCTGGAGATGGGTTATCGCTGCGATCACCCATCGCAGATAAGCGCTCTCTGTGTGTCACAGGAAGCAATGTGGCATCCTGCCTGACTCTCTCTGTCTCATGGAGCAAGGGCTTGTTTTGTCTCTCGGGCTTCTATTCTGTAAATGATTGGAGTGAATACGGCAGCAAATATTGTTGCTGTAACAATTAATGCGTGCGCGGCAGAGCACACGGTAAAAATAGGTCCCAATTCAATGTTGTACCCAGGATTGCTGTAAAATATGTTTCCTCTGTCAGCTCCCTCAGCAGGGATGAACGATCTCTCTTTTTCAGATATAAAGAATGGGCTTACTTTGTAACCCTGCCAAAATACTGTCTTTTTCTGTTAAAACAATGGCAAATACTGGTTACCTCTGTCTGACTTAGAGCAGCAAGTGCACAGAGAATTTCACCCCTGGGCTTCTCACCATTTCTGCTTTCACTTGTGCTGGCCTTCAACCTGGTCGTTCTGGTTAAAGGCTCCAGAAATGGATACTGCTGCTGGCTGCGTTAGTTGTGGCCTGCCAAGTATAATCTTCTCATTGCATGTGTCTCAAGTGCTGCATCTTAGGGACTCTGTGATGGTCATGGAGAGGCCACCTGTGCACAGTAGATTTAGCCAGGCCTGGTGTTGCCTTTGATGAGGAACATTTTAGGGGAGCTGAGTGAAAACAAGATGAATTCTGTCTTTTGGTGACATGCAAAAATACCTTGAGAAGTCCTACGTTTCATAGCCTTAAAATATTTTAAATAAACCCATTCCCTCTATTTGAAAATCAAATGTCTTTTGTCTGTCACTTCTGCACACATTTGGATATCTTGTATACAGCTTTTCTTCTTTCAGATATCCAAAAGTAGCTCATTCAGAAAGAAGTGTTGTGAAATGCATGTTGGAGAGTGTTCTTACACGATAAATTTGGCACATTGGTCCCTTACACTAATCTTTGTGGAGTTGTCCAGAGCTGCTGTAGGCTTGAGTGGAAGATCAGTGATCCTCTGCTCTTGACAACTTGGAGGAAGTTCTATCACAGAACTTGCATTTAAGAAAGAAAAAAAAAAAAAAAAAACAACAAAACCTGCTAAAGAAGGTGACCTACTAGATGGCTACAGTTATGGATACAAACAACTGACAGCTAGGTCATTTTATAGGGAGGCTGAAATTTGGCTCCTCAACCAGGTCTGTCCATTCAGCCCTCTCGGTGCCACAGCCACCCTCGCTCAGACGTGGTGTCTGTCCACGGGGCATGCCTGCCCACCCTGACACTCGGCTATGGCCTGGCAGGACAGCAGGAGGACATGAACTCCATTCCAGTCTCATAAAAAAAACTCCCATAAACAGACATGTTTTGGCAATTATTACCTGGATGACTGGCTTGGCTTCTTCCATGTGGCTTTTCTGTGTCATCTGGTTGGGTTGAAGTTCTAGACAACCGACGTATGTGTAGACTGCACCTACTGGCCTGGCAGTGTATGCAGTGCCTCTTCATCTACTGCTCTCTTTCTCCATGAGCCCAGGATAGCCAGGACGTTCTGCTTGCCTTGGCTAAGGTGTGGTGTCTGGCCTAGCTGACTTCTTGTCAGTGAAAAAAAAACTTCTGTCAAAGAAGATAAATTCAGGCAGCCCTCTGTTGTGAGTAATGCTGCTCTGTGTGGCAGTGACAGGATGAAATTACGGTTTGAATGGTGATAAACTGAGGAGATAAACAGGGCAAGTTGTTAGCTTTAAATCTTTATATCTCAAGTGTTTGTCACAATGATTTGAAGGGAAAACTGTGTTCAGTGTTGTACAGGATTGCCGATAAATTACTACTGTTATAGAAGAACCTCATCATTAAAGGTTTATAACTGTGCTGTAAAATCCTTGCTGGTTTGAGGCTCTGCAGACAGATTTGGAGCCAGGAGGGCTTGTCAGTCTTCAGAAAAGCTGAGTTGTGCTTTACTTGAAAGTATAACTGTGGCTCAGCTCATTTTTGAGTCCAAAGATTTGCTCTTGTACAAGGGAGGGAGTGCGGGGACCTGGGTCCTGCGGTGTGGTTGTACCACCTCCTTGCATCCCTTGGGCCTCTCTTTCCTTTCCCACCCTCTCTTTGACTTGACCCTTTAGCCTTTAAGCTGTCCGTGGCAGGGACCCTGTTTGAACAATGCATAACACAGTGGGAGGCTGATCCAGGTGAGGTTTGAAGGCTTTCCTGCTAGAAAAAATGATTGCAATTATATCCCCTGCAAAAATAAATTTGCAGGAAAAAAAAATCTCAGTCTCCAGCTGCAGTTTCTGCAACTGAACAGCCCTGCATTTATTATAGGATTATCTGCAAATTCAAATAGGTTGTCTCTTTCACTTCACTGAATGCTCTGATCCTAAATAAGCAAATTACATCACCTATTCTGATGTCCTGTTTAACTTATGACCTCAGCCTGAGCACTGCAGGATGTGAGAGATAGCTGCTTTATTTCATTGTCTGGAGATCTGATATCTTGCCCCCCCTTCCCTGCTCTTTCAGTTTCAAAGCGGTTCACCCCAGCCTTTTAGAAAGGTGTTAGCATGGGATTAGGAGTAGGTGGGGAGGAGGGGGGAAGAAGAGAGGAAGCCACTTTTTTTTTTTTTTTTTTTTAAATTAGGTGCAAAAGTGTTCTAACAGTTGCAGCAAATGTTTCTGGGTTTTTGTGGTTAAGGTAA